TTTTTTTTTTTTTTTCCCGAAAAAAAAAAAAAAAGTGCATGGGGCGGTACCCGACAGCGCACACTACCACCGCACACTTTCACAAAACCCCTTCCCCTCCCCCAAACGCGCGGAAACGCGGTTTGCGGACCCCGTTCATTCGCGTCCAACGCTCGTTTGAACGGGGATTGAACGCGAAGTTAACGCGCGTTCAATTTTTCAACGCGAAACCCGCGTTGAATCGATTTTCGGACACATAGCCTCTTCCCTTACATCCAACCCTAAGTGTTGCCCTCAACCACTTAGGTTAGGGTTAGGGCAGCAAAATCAACTCTCACCAGCAAGTAGAATCCGCTCTGAAACCAATGTTATGATCCTGGCCCATTTCGAGATACACATTCATCAGATAGTACAATTGCGAGGCATAAGGCCTCGATAAGTCCTATTGGGCCCCTATTTGCAACAACGTCGGCCGCCCTAAGTGAAAGCAGGCTCGACAGACGACAAGAGGCCTATTTTGGATTACTTCGCAAGTGGGGAAAATTTCAGGCAGTTGCGCAGCGCTTGTTGGTTTGAATGCGCCCGGGCCCTGGCCTCCTTTATCAAATGCATCTGAGTCAAGCCTTGGGCAAGATACGCAGCATGGACCCAACTCAGGCTGTGGGAAGTTGGGTACGGGTAACTGTCACAGGCCTTGTGCCTGATCCGTTTGGTTTGGGGCTCAGCCTCTCTGAGCCTACCGGAAGGTTCAGGGCAGGGGCCCAGCACAGCCAGGCTGCATGCAAGGCAGGCAGGCCACTTCCGTTTAGGAAAGGGCCTGCACACGCATTCGGCATTCGGGCACTGGCTGCATGCTGCGCAAGCGCTGCTGCGCTAACGCTGGCCAGCGCTCACGCGCTCACGGGCGAGCTGGAAGGAGCAGGCAGCCATAGCTGAGCTGCGCTGCTGTATGCTGGATGGGGCGCATGGTGGTCCTTAGGTGCATGTGGCATCTGTGATTTGAGGAACAAGGTTGTGAGTGATACGAGAGACACACCTGGTGCTTGAAGCGTACGGCATTGGCCGAGATCTGCTCGTACTTCGGGGAGCTGTTGACGTCATCGGCGGCATTGTAGATAGGATAGATAGGATAGATAGGATCTGCCATTTGTAGTCTGGGCGCCGAGCGCCAGATAGGATATCGACATTGGTTCTTCGTTGATGATGTGAGACTATTCCAGCATTGTCAATTATGAGCTTTTGCTGTGCTCTTATTTGGTGAAACTCGTGATGCAATTCTGCTATTGGTTCGAGGTCATGACTATCTTGTCACATGTGTATGATGCTGTTTGATTTCTGGAGTTCGCTATCGCTCATTTTCCTTGCAATTTGGTATCGGAACTGTGGTACAGTGCGCTCATCTGGCGCTTGTCTTTTGCCTTTGCGGTACATGCACGTGGTCTGCTAAGCGAGCGGCCGTGGGAGGTGTGTAGTGAGGAGGGTGGAGACAAGTGTGGCGACCCAGGAGGTGAGGGGTATCACCAGGAAGGCTACGTGGTGTATATTGGGTGTTTGCAGTGTGATGAGAACTATCCGATGTGTGATTGATGCTGAGGTGGAACGACGGTGTAATGCTGGTTGTGCCGAAGCAGCGATTGGTCATCACAGTCAACATCGGGTCATGTGGTGAGAATATATGAGGTTGGGGGCAGCTATTTTGAGGTACGTTGCACCTACTGTGAGGATGCGTGTTTTGTCTTGAGAGTCCTCTCATGTGAGGAGTCGCGTGCGCTCAACCTTGAGAGTCGTCAGTGTTCACGTGGAGCATCTGAGGCGGTGCTATCTGAAGGGCACTGGACGAAGCACTTGGTCACGGTCACCATGCCATGTTGCCAACCCACCGGGAGTAGAGCACGCATGCTTTGCTGCTTCGCCCTTTGTCTGCTCGCTGCGCTATAGAGGGGTTCTGAGGGGCAGGCCAGCCCTATGGGAAAGACGAGACCGGATGTCTATTAATAAGTACCGGCGGGGACCTTCCATTGCTGTGATCGTCGTCCTGTTTGCGGCGTTAAATAATTCTTGAGGACTTCGGGGGCCGTTCATAAAATCGCCTCCTGATCAGCCAATCGGTCGGTGTAAGGCTCGCTGCACGTGAGGATAAAGACTGTGCAGGGCTGGCCAGCTCAGCGGGACTCGGGGCATAGGGGTGGGCCGTGTGCACACCTTTAGACACGCATGCTGTCCGGATCGCTCAGGGACGCTGCCGAGAAGAGACATTCATGAAGAATTGAGGGAGGGGTAGATTCCAGGTGATAAGTTTGGGTAAGATTCCATTCTGCAAACAGACCCAACAAATGATTCTATTTTTATTTTGATTAGTTAGATGTACAACCATTAACATCTGACAGACAACATAGTTAGAACTGTTTTCTGTTCATTGTGCTTTATGTTTGCGAACTAGTCAAAGTCAAAGTAGTTTCATTTGTAGGAATCTGAACTTACCTGGTGGACCCAAATGTATCTACTCTAACGCAGCCACCGATTAATTATTTTAATTATTATAAATCGGTCTGTGCACTACGCTGCGGTAGGCATCAAAGAGTGACCTAGTGCACATTGTGTACAACTCTGTAGCTTATGAGCGATAGGGATACCACTAGTGAGGACGATCGGATCTTGCGATCGGCTAGACGCCCGATTGCCCACGTGGCATTAGGACCCGAGGGTGATAGGTTACTGTTCCGCCAGCAAAGGGAGAGGCAGCAGCAGCAGCAGCGGAGAGCTAGGGCAGCAGAGGCCAGCAGGGCATTCGCAAGTGAAGCCGCTGCTTCAGCAGCCATGGCAACCGCTGCGCAGCAGAGTTCCCAGGCCAACAGTTTAGGGGCCGTAGGGTCAACGGTCGCGCAGACCCTGAGTCAGTCCACTGGTGTCATGGCAAGCCAGCCAATAGTGTTGACTTCCGATGAGATCGCCATACAGCAGCAGCACTATAGGAGGCACAACTACAGAGGGCTTTAGGAGAGATAAAAGCGGAGAAGGAAAGAATGATTAGAAGAAGAGTCGGGATGCAGCGGAGAGAAGCGGACGTTAGTGAGTTAGAGAGGATGGACCTGACGCACATGGATGCAGATGTGAGGACGTTGCGGACAACCCTGCTAGGTGTTGTGGAGATGCAGGACCACCACACGACTCTCCTTCAGGACATCCAGCAGAATCTGGCCTTGCTGGTCGGGCGAGCGCAGGCAGCACCGTCGCTGTCCAGGGCCGGGGCCTGGCCCACTGTACAACCTCCTCCTTTTGTCCGACCGGTGACTGGGGTATCCCCATACGTCTTCCCAGCATCGGTCCAAGTTATTTCCCTAGGTATGTCGTTAGCAGGAGGGTTCTCAGCAGGTCCTAGTGTGCAGGTTCCTGCACAGACAGTGTTCTCCCAACCTCCGTCGCAGGTTGCCGTAAGCGGGCAGCCTGCTGTCTCGCATACTGCACAATCGCAGGGTACACAACCCTAGCAGCAGGTGCAGCTGCCTGGTCCCCAAGGTCCACAACCTGGAGTGGGACAGGTGCTGGGACAAAGTCAGTGGGTTCCGAAGACGACCATTGCTGCTCCTAAACCCTTCACTGGGACAAGAGGGGCGAAAACCTCGACACATGGTTGAGGTCAGTGCCAGTCTACGTCAAGTGTAAGCTTACCTTGCCACACGAGGAAGTGCTTGTGGCTGCCTCCTATCTAGAGGGGAGTGCAGCGAGATGGTTGAGTGGTTTAGTGCAGTTACAGGGATACGCTCATGACTTTCGCGCTTGGGCGGTCAACCAGAAACTGGATGACTTCCTCAAGTTGGTGGAAGACAGGTGGCATGATCCGCAGCAGGCAGTTCAAGTCCACTGATGCGATCCTGACTTTGCACAACAGGCAGTTCAAGTCGGTAAGAGAGGCCACAAACGCAATAGAGCGTCTGATCTGTGTCCCTGGGTGTGCT